GCCGCCGCCGGCCGTCGCCCGCAGTGCAGCGTCCCCAGCCTGAGCCGCCGCCAGCTGCCCCTGCGGGCGCAATGAGGAGCCGCGCCGGAGCCGCCGCCTCAGCGCCGCACTGAGAAGCCTTAGCGAGGGAGCGAGCGAGGCCGCCCGGGCCGCCTCACCCCTACTCCGCCCGCCGCGGATCCCGCCGCCCCTGCCGGATCGCCTTGCGAGCGGCCGCATCACCTCCTGTCGGCGGCTCCGGGAGCCCCGAGATCCCTCCGCCGCGGAAAAAAAATAGTCCCGTTCCCTGCCGCCTCCCTCAGAGGCGAGGGGGAAGGCGAAGAGAGGGGAGGGGGAAGGAGGAGGAGGAAGAAAAAGAGGAAAAAAAAAGAAAAAAGGGGAGAGGGAGGGGGAACGAAAAAGAGAGAGGACCCCGGCGACGGGATCGGAGGAGCCGGGCCGTGAGCCTCCGCCCCATGTGACTGGCGCCCAGGGTGGGGGCAGCGAGGCCTAGCAAACCCCCCTCGCTCGGGGCCGGCAGCGGGAGCGGCGCCGGGGGGGCTGCGGACTGGGCGGAGGCGGCTCTCGGACCCACCGGCGCTGCCGGGAAGGATGGTTTTGTGAGGAACGGGCGGCGTGAGGAGGAGGAGGAGGAGGAGGAAGGAGCAGCCGCCGCCGCCGCCGGCGGGCGAAGAGCGCGACAGAGACCGAGAGGGGAGGGGGCTTCCCCGGGGGGGGGAAGGGGGGGTCCCGGCGTTTCATGTGGCGCGTCCCGCCCGTCTCCTCCAGCTGAGCGAGCGAGGGAGCGGCAGGCGGGCCCGCCGAGCCGCCGGGGCGAGGCGAAGGGGGAAGGCAGGAAAAGAGAGGTGATCGGGGCAGAGCAGGAGCGGGAGACCATGTCCGGGCGGCCCAGGACCACCTCCTTCGCGGAGAGCTGCAAGCCGGTGCAGCAGCCCTCGGCCTTCGGCAGCATGAAAGTTAGCCGTGAGTATCCTGCCGCCCCTGTCCGTCTGTCTGTCTGGTTCTGGCGGGGTCCGTGTCCCCCCCGCCCCCCCCAGCCCTTTGCCTTCCCTTCGGAGGTGAAGCGGCCGAGCGGGCGGCCCCGGCCCCGGCTGAGGCAGCTCCCTTTCCCCCCCCCCCCATTAACCTTGAATAGGCGCACGCCGCCGCTTCGTTTGGGGCCTGTTGGGCAAAAAAATGCCGGTTGGTTTGTCCTCTCCCTTAGCCTCTGATCGCTGCCAGCGTTGTAAGCGGCCTCTGGCTAATTAAAAAGCCTTTTTTTGTTTGTTTTGTTTGGGGTTTTTTTGTCCCGTCCCCCCCCCCCTTGTGAAGCGGATTGGGAGCTCCCGTAGCCTGTATTTCCTTTTTATTTCCTCCTCGAAAGGAGGAAACGAATTGCGGGCACGCAGGTACGGCCGTGACATTCACGTTCATTATGTGTTTTTAAGCACTCCTGGCTCTGAAGGAGAGAGCTTGGAAGATTTTTTTCCATGCACCCGTAGATCGGGTGTGAGCACCTTTTAGTCCAGCCCATTAAAAAAAAAAAAAAAGGAGGGGGAGGGGAGCTTACAAAAGGTGTCTCTCCAATATCCTCCAGGCTCTGGTAAAATGCTCAATAGAGGGGATAAGAAAATGATTATTTTGACATGTGAGCCTATGGAGTAGTTATTTCAAGCTCGGCATGCCTTTTCCAGTTTTCTGATCAGAGGAATATTTTTAAGAATGAGGCCTGTGCTTTATTCTGCAGAGGCATGTTGGAGATCGTGTTTAATACGTGCCCATCCTTCGTATTCTAGCTTGTGGGATTAGCTGGTTTATGTGAATTAAAAATATGTATTAAATCTGAACAAATGTACGGTGCGAATGGAAAAAGGCCCTGTTCTGAGTCGCTGAGATTGGCTATGTGTTTATAGTACGGCATTTCTTAACTCCTGATTTGCATATGTTCATATTAACAGCTAAATTGTTCTTCCAGATTCATATCAATAGCGTAGTTTTCAGCGATATTTTCCTTTTCTTACGGAAATGCGGGGTGGCATCTTTATGGGACCAGGAATGCTTGATATGCATTACCATTCAATTGATCTATTTGATACTTGCGTATAGCCACACCTGACATGGCTCTGTGTGTGCATGCATGCATATATCACGTTGTTTTATGCATTTCGTGCCAAAGCGCTATAAGATTGTGAGCTTTTTCACAGATCAGAAATTCTGACGTTTTTCTGCACTGAAATGTCTTCCACTGCGGTTGAAGCCTTGAAGAGAGCATTTGACTCGGGGTCTGTAGTCTACCTTGTATCTGCATGATCAACGTGCCTGCAGCACTTCAAAAAACACGGGTGCAGTTAACCCCTATTAGCAGTATAAGAGCGTATGTTTGATCAGGTCCAGCATTAGCATTTATTAAGGATTCTTGATCTGCATGGAGAAAAACTGTGGGTGACTCCATTTTAATTTATTGATTTACTTTATGTGCCTGTGGAATAGGAAGCAGGTCTTGTTGATCAGTATTTCTGCAGGTGGCTGTCTAAACCAAGCAGGACCTAGACCTGTCAACTACATTTGTCTTTTTCGAGCTCTACAGCTTGATTCTTGAAAGGTCATTGATGCTCCTTTCCCGTTTATTTGAGGTCACAGACTAGACAGATGCTTGCCTGTGAAGAGGGTGCTAACTGATGCAGACCAACAAGTTTGCAAATATGATTCAATCCCAAGTGTATAACACTGAGGGAGAGACAAAGGCCGTAGCATAAAGCACACGCACTTGTGATAACCCCCACAGTCGCTCTAGTCATGTGCTCCTGGTCCTTCTGCTGTCTGGAAAAAAATGTCAGAACAAAGCAAGAGAACCACATATAAGGACTCTGTGGGGAAATGCAGTTTATATTTTCAGTTAATCTATCCATGTAAGACAGCCCAGGAAGTTAACTTTTTTTTTGCTTTGTAAGAGAGAAAAATTCCTGGGTGTCAAAAAGGGTTATATTTTTCTGGTTCTCATGAGTTTTGTTAGCATATTATGGCATGATGTAGCAAGTTATCTATTACCAGTGTTGAGAGCTTGGGGGGAAAAAAATCACTTGTGTCTTGAACAGAGTTTGCTCTGCTCTTTCATTTTGCTATGTATTTGCAGTCTGGTACTTAGTTACATTTTGAGCCCTTTTGAGAGAAAGCTGGGACAAAAGAGTCCTTGTGAAGTAGGTGAAAACTGATGGATTGGTATCTTCTGAGTCTCTTGGACATCTTTAGTACCTCTGTCTTGGTGCGGGTCTTTTCCGAGTCATCAGGGAGCAAAACCTGACTTGTTTGATGTCAACCTTTTTGCTTTTATTTGTAAGCCTGGAGTAGTGGTGAAATTAAATTATGAAGTCACTCTTGCTGTGGTGTCTCTGCAGCTATTGCTGTTCCTGGCTGAGCACTGCAACTGTTATCTAGGAAGGGTGGATCCAAGCAATGAGGAAAGGATTGATAAAGTAGTAGAGGAGGGCTCGCTGATCCTTGTGTTACCTGGGAGGAGCAGTACTAGAACTGTACGGTGATTGCTCTTCTCCCCAAGCTATATGGGGGAGAAGGAGTGAGCAAGGATTTTTCATCTCTTCCCTGTGTAATTTATTAGGCTTAATTTATGAGACTTTGTTCTCAGAAGTAGGTAAGAAAGTCTGAGCCTTGAATGAAAGGATGGGAGATTACCAACAGCTACTCCTCTGGCTGTTGGGAAAGATGACTTCTCATGCGTGCTGCTCTCATTGCTCTGTAATAGATGTTACAAGGGTTTTAACATCTCTGCAAGAGTAGGAACCCTGTGGTCTTCTTATATCTCTTTCAAGCCATACCAGCATCAAGAGTACCTTCTGAAATCTGACTGTTTTTTCTTCCTCTATTTATATGTTGGTGGTTTTGAAATCACTCCACCATTTTTTCCACCCCACTGTATGGATTTCTGCATTGAAGTAATTCTCAAGTAGGTTATTCTTTGTGCAGCTCTGTATTGCTGGGTTTGTAGGCTTTCCCTGTGCAAAAAAAAAAGTGTGTGTTCTCCTTGTGTTGAGCCTGTCCCTCAACGGGAGGGAGCTGAGCTTCCAGTTCTCCACTTGCTGATACTATCAACCTGCTAGTTATAGTATAAGAGAAGACGTATGAGCTTGAAGCTTTCTTTTGTTCTTCACCTAGTTGTTCTTGCATTGCTTCCAAATGTACATTGTTTCCCAAATGGGACAAAAATAATCCTGAAATATAAAGGGTATTCATGTAACACATGACCAAAAATATCTGTATAAAAATAGAAGTCTTGAAGTTTGCAGTTTGAGAATTTTTGTCTAATGACTGTGGAATTGATTTTTTTTTTTTTTTTTTTTTTATTTCTTCCCTGAGCTTCTGGAAAATAAGTGTTTCAAGCAACACCAACTCGTTGTAGACAGCCCTACTTATTGTAACTGGAGCCAATTATCTTGTTGGTCTGCAGTAAATAATGTCGTGGCTAACGCTTGCCATGAAGAGTTTTTTGCTCCATGTGTGAGTGTCGTGGCTCTGTAATTGGTTATGCAGAATTTGTTAGCTTGGAGGGCGAGGAAGGCAATTTTATTTGCTTTAGCTAATTCTAATGTTGTACACATACTCTTGGTTGCAAAATCTAAAGGACAATCTTGTAATAATTCATTTTGGACTCTCTGGAAGAATGTTACAATGGTGCCAAACTTGGGTTTTGTTGAAGTTTTTATTTTCTTCTTAGAGTCACTGTTTTTTGTACTGTATAATCTCCTGAAAGCACAATAGCTTGGTAAACCTATCTTGCTGTGTACTGTTCACACATGGTACTACTGCTGGCATTTGAGCATGATGCATCTTTCATTGGCGTAATGGCTCTTTAAAAAGTGGTTCATGAAGGAGTAAAGTCTGGGAGTTTGTTGCTCTGTTAGTAGCCACTCCACAAGCCAGGACATAAAAGTGACTGCTTTTTGGGTAGCATGTGGTGTCTAGGTGACAGTTTAATTTAATACTGTGTGATGTCCAGGTAGGTGTGTAGGAAGGGCCTTGGAAAAGAGCACCCTGGTCAACTTCAGGGAGAAGGAATGAGTGGGGCTGTTGAAACTGGCAAAATGATGGAGATAAGGCCACCTTCTGTTTCTCAACCCAGTTAGGGTAGGGCCCTCTCTATTGCTTTGATAGCAGTTTCTGCCTAATTGGTTTCTGAAACTGGAAGCCGCCCATCCTGCTCTCCTTGCTGGAGAGAGGAAGATCACTCCCTTCCAGAAGCCTGCTGAGTGTTATGTGTCTGGCTGTCGCTGATCCTAGCCCTGTCCAGCTTTCTGACTGCTGCTGGGTGAACAGCTTTCCTCATGCCTAAACTTGAAAAAAAAATTGCACTAACGGGGTCAGCTAATGACCACATGCGCTACAGTGAAAAGTGCCTCATGCTATAGTGCCCCAAAGTCATGCCTTGCAGTCTGAAAAGGAATAAAACAGCTGTCTGCTGTACTTAATTCTAACACTGCCAAACTATTTTCTCTGTATTCATGTCATTAGGAATAGTTTAGCAGAAAAATAACTAGTGAAAAAGTGAGGCCTGCCAATGGAACCTGTCAAATGACAATTTGACTAATTATTCTGCTGTGTCCCCCACGTCTTACTTCTGTGGGTTGGTGGTTTAGTTGTTCTTTTTCTTGTAAGACCTATTGGGGTTTATCCTGAAGCTTTTCTTCTCATTGTGTTTCTGTTCTGCGTGTTTCTTCTTCTCTAAACAGCTTCCTGGAGGTGATCCCCTGCTGTATTATCACTCGATTCGCCTTTTGTATTTCTTAGCCATATTTTAACCAACTATTTAAAAAGCTGTGGAAACCCATATGGCTTATGGAGTATGTTCCTTGCCTGTACGCATCCCGGCTCTGGAAGTTGTTGTATCACTTCATCCGTTGACTTGATAGGGCCTTGTAGGTGTCACAAAGCAGTGGTGGTGTATGTATTCTGGTCTTTTTCTTGGGGGATAA